CAGATGGTCTGATGGTTATTGGGCTGCAGTCAGCACCAGTAATGGCCTTAATTTGGGTAGAGGATCGTCCCGTGTCTTTTAAAGACTATGGTCTTAAACTTTTGATCAGCTGAAAGAAATCATGTTTGAGTGTAAATGCAGTTTTCAGAAAATTCCTGCTCAAAAGTTCTTGTCTCTTGCACTGATTTCTTCTTTTAACATTGTGAAGCTCTACTTAGAACCTTCTTAAGATCCAATAGTGCAAAATGCAAATTCTTGCACTTTTTTTGACTGGTCTTAAGATTTTGATCAGGAGTGTATATGCTATGAGGCTAACAATATATAAACACACACACACACACACACACACACACACACACACACACACACATTTGTTTTTATATCCATGTGGGGATCATGGATTGACTTCCATTCATTTTCTGGTAATTTTATAGCCTAACCCTGACCATTTATCCTAAAACTAACACATTTGTCCACACAAGGCTGCTGTTTTCTGGAAACACACACACACACACACATCTATACATACAGTGCTTATAAAAAGTATTCATCTCCATGAATATTTTGTGCTTTCCTTGCTATCAATTTAATCGTGGTCAATATAAATCAGCCTTCTTTACAGGAAAAAAAAAACCTTAAATGTCACAGAGAACCAATTTGTTTAGAGTAATACTAATTAGATAGTAATAAAATTGTAAAATAAACCATTGCATAAATATTCACCCCCCTTCCAATTGACGATCCTAATTTGACTCAGAGAAAAAGTTAGTTGAAGGTACCGGTAAGTAAAGAGATTCTGATGATGCAGGAGGTCTGAGCTGTGTGCTGCCATGAAGAACTTACCTTGCTGTAACAGTGATGATAGCTGGAAACTGCTCTGAGGGTTTGGAGAATAAAACGCACTTCAGAACAAAGATTCTCCTTCAGAGTGTTCAGATCCAGAACCCAGTACTCTTTGGTCTGAACTTCCAAAGGAAAGATCTCCTCCAGGATGTGAATCACATGTTCAGCACGTTGAATCAGAATCTGGGGGGAGAGTGTGACGCGAACAAATCAATTCTAGTGACTCATTACTCCAGTTCTCCACAGAATCTCTAAACAGAACAGTCTAATTTCATCATCTACATTTGGGACAAATTAAAAAAAACACTGTACCATAGCAGGACTGTAAATGTTGGTCTCAAACTCAGACAGGACCGCTGCTGCCTTTGCAGAATCCTGGAGAGTCTCAGCTGTGAAGAGCTGCAGCTTCTCTCGATGAGTTGCAATGTCCTCAGCAACCTGGGAACACATTTTGTTCAGAGCCGGAGTCAGAGAGCTTCATCAGCTCCATCCATAAGAACAGAGACTTGTTATTATCAGTAGGCCTGTCGCAATAATCAATAAATCAATTAATTGCACGATAAATTATTTTGAGGTCGGTAAAAAAAATTTGGACGATAATTTTCATTTTCCTGCTTGTTCGTTTACTTCGTCCCTCTCCCTCTCTGTGCTCCGGTGCACAGGGGGCTCAACTGACCCCTCCCCTCCTGTTTTCTTATTGTGGGAGGAGTGAACTCTCTCGCGGTCTCRTACTCCTTTAGCACGAGAGCTCGTAGCAATAACAAACTAAAGAAACGTTGATGGGATTCTGAAAAATGAAGATGGAATTGGTTTCAAAGCAGAAAGCGACAGCTGCAGTGTCAGAGTACTTGCAGGGTCTGAAATTCGCTGCGGGGATTGCACATATAATGATCGATTCCCGTAAATCTAATTTTTATAATAATGCGGGAAGTTCCCGCATAGAATAAATTCCAGCAATGYGTAACTATGTGGGAGTTGGCATCGGACTATTTTTAGATGACAACTAGTACAGAATAAACCGGACCACCTGGGGCCTCATGTATCAACGGTGCGTACGCACAAAAACCTTGCGTACGTCATTTTCCAC